TTTTTATTTGGAGAATACAATTTATTTCTCAGAGTTAGGAACTTAGAAAACTTAAGTGAGATTTTTGGCATGTCCCTTCTCATGAGAATGCATAAGATATTGGCAGCCTCTCTCAGTGTTACAATCAAAATATGCAGTCTGGTCATCTTGCCAGTGGCTATAGGATCCATTTTCTTTTTTCTTTTTCACTTGTGTGTGTTTACAATACATATTAATGATGTCCATTTAGGGGAATTAGCCCATGTGTATAACATCTTGATCCATTTTCAAGTCGACTTGCCTTGACTGGGAAGTTGGTGCTGCTGGTTGTTGACAGGAGGCCTCAGTACCTCTCCACCTGGTCTCTCCATAGCCTTGCTGTTCCTAGAGATCATTCTTATGATATGATTAGATTCCCACAGAGTGAGCCATCTAAGAAACCTTGAAGAAGAAATGATGTATTTTATGACCTAGCCTTGAAACTCACATAACTTCTGCACTCTTGCAACACTCTAGTTATATAGTTGAGTCCTGATTTAACAATTCAGTTTGTAGGAGACTACAAAAGAGTATGAAGGATCTTGGGGCTATTTTGGAGACTGGCTAACACCAAAGGATTTATTTGAGTTTTAGTGAAAAGATATAAATCAGCGATAAGAATTAGCAAGTAATATTTTAGAATGATTAGGGGTTTTTTTTGTTTTGATAAGCTATAACCTGTGGATACTTTAAAGGGGATAATTTTATGCTAGTTTTTCACATTCTAAAAAACTAAAAGTGGAAATGTGGTTTTTGTTTTGTTTTCAGATTATTTAAAATATGTGACAATATACATGGAAGTGCTTACTCTAATGACAGTGCAAATATGGATTCTCACTTTGGCTCAGTGGAAAATTTCCAAACTGAAATGAACAAAGGGGAACCGGGGAACTACAGCAGTAATATGCAGAAACCTCAGTATTGTACAAACATATTTAAAGCAAATGACACTTTTCCTGGTTCTAAAATTGGAGGCGATACATTCAAAGTACCATCTTTCTCAGTTGCATTCCAGCCTCATGATATTCAAGGTAATTCCTTGCTTTCTCACTTATTCTAATAAAAATATAAACTAATATGTAGTTCTTTGCATAGATGAAGAAGAATACAAAAATAGAGTCAATTTGAGTAGGTAATCTTTATGTGTAGTTTTTACATTTTATTATGTTGCATTATTTTAAAGCTGTTTTTGAATAATTTTAAATTTATCAGTAATAAAAATTATTCAACTTTTATTGAAGCTGTTTTTAATTAAAAAATTCTTAAAATATCCATAGAAGTATGTAGTTTTTTTTTTTAGGAATAACCGAAAATGGCATAGAGTCGTTGAAGGCTGTCACAGAAATCCGTATCCTTTAAATTATTTTACAATATTTTTTATTAAATTGATCGTAATTTAATGGTGTTAGCAAAAACTTTTTTTAAAGAACTTTATATCTTTTTGTATAATTTAAAAATTTTATTACATGTTTGAAATTCATGCAGTTTACATTCTTCTTGGGGAGTGGTTACATGTACATGTTACAGCTTGCCTCTTTTTTTCTTAGCTCATGTTAGTGTTTACATTAATTGGGGTTATTAAATTCCTGTACATGGCACATGTCTATTCCTCTTCTTTCCCTTTCCCTCCTTCTCACCCCTCATTGTTGTTCCTTTGGACTACTTCCCTATTGCAAGAGATCCATTGCCTTGTCTCTTTCTATCCACCCTTTATCATTTTCTTCGTACTTTGTTTTACTCAGATGAGATACCATACAGTATTTAAGCTTGTATGTCTGGTTTATTTCACTCAACATTATATTTTCCAGGTGCATCCATATTCATACAGATGTCTCAAATGTGTCATTCTTTATAGCTGAGTACTATTCCATTATATATGGATACCACATTTTCTTTATGTAATTACCTATTGATAGTTATACAGGGTGCTTTCAGGATTTAACTATTATAAATTGTGCTGCTATAAACATTGGTATGCATGTATTGCTGTAGTAGGATGACTTAAGCTCTTTGGGGAAGATACCTAGCAAGAGGGTAGCTGGGTCATATGGAATTTCTGATTTCAGTTCTTTGAGAAATCTCCATACGAATTTCCATAATGGTTGTTAGTTTGCATTTCCACAAACAATGCAGGAGGGTTCCTTTTTCACCACAGCCATGCCAACATTTGTCATTGTTTGATTTCCTAATGATTGCCATTCTTTCCAGACTAAGATGGAAGCTTAGAGAGGTGTTTTAATTTTCATTTTTCTAATGGCCAGAGACATTGAACATTTTTTCTTATATTTGTTGACCATTTGTATTTCTTCCTTTGGGTAGTATCTGTTCATTTCTCTAGTCCATTTCTTGACTGGATCCTTAATTTTAAGTGGTTCAATTTTTTTTTAGTTCTTTGTATATACTAGATATTAGTCCTCAATTTTACATATATATTTATGAAATCATATTTTAAAATATTCTGTTTCATTGTGTTCCTATGCATTTATTTCGGTTGATAAAGAAGGTGAATCTTTTGGGTCATTTAAGAGATTTGTACATCTGATAGTTCTCAAGTGTGGTCTATAGAGTGGTGGCAGTTTGTGAACTTTTTGTTACCAGTGTGTGACAGGATAATAGAGAGATTTTATTAGTATTATTGGAGAAGGCTGAGCATATTTACTTACAAATCGATATAGGTAATTTCTTATATTTTGGGTAAGAAGAGCTATATTGAACAGATACATATAATGTCTTATATGTGGGGTGTCAGCCATATAGAGTTAAAATGAATAGGGGAAGTAAAGGAAATGGGATATTTTATGGAATGAGGACATTTTTTTACAAGTCTAATGTTTGAAAGAACCCACGTTTAAATATAATCCAGTTTGCATGCCTGGACACTTACTAGTGTAAATGTTTTAAGTGTATTCTGTATATTCCAGCAGTAACATCCTCTTTGTGTATTTAACACCATGCGCATGCCTATACTAGTATATTTGATTTGATTTGATTTGATTTGATTATAATTCACTAGCTACTTGTGTGACTATTTTCTCATGACCTAAGAACAACTCCTTGAAGGCAAAGACTGGGCTTTATCTATCTTTCTATTTCCCAGTATATCAAAAGATACAGTAAAGTCCATAATTTAGGAAGTTGTTCTAGAAAAGAAATAGCTGTAGGCAAGGATGAGATTAAAAAAATGTGGATATGTTTTGAAAGAATAAACTTTGACGTTTGGCTGAAATCAAAGATATGATTAAAGAAAAAAGTAGTAGGAGATTTTCTTGAATAGGTACCTTAGGATCAGATCATTTAATGCTGTGAATAGAAGGGTCAAGTTTTTTTAAAAAATATTTTTCCTGGCTTATTAAAGTATAATAGTACATTTTTGAAGTCTGCAATATGATGTTTTATTATTATATACATTGTGAAAATGATTACCCAAGCTCATTAATATATCTATTATCATTATGTGTGGTTAAAATGTGGAGGAAAAGGAACCCTTACACATTGGTGGTAGGAATATAAATTATTACAGCCACTCTTGAAAACAGTATGGAGTTCCTTAAAAAGCTGAAAATAGAACTATCACATGATCCAGTAATCTCACTCTTGGGTATATATACAGAGGGAATAAAGCTATTATACAAAAGAGAAACCTGGATGCCCATGTTTATTGTGGTACTATTCACAATAGCTAAAATAAGGCATCAGTTTAGGTGCCTATCAACAGATAAATGGATGAAAAAAATGTGGTTATGTACATAGTGGAATATTACTCAGCTATGAAGGGAATAAATTCCTGTGATTTACAGGAAAATGGATGGAACTAGAGGACAACATATTAAGCAAAATAAGCCAGACCCAGAAAGATGAGTATTACAAGTTTTCTCTTATATTCAGAAAAAAAGAAAGAAAAAAACAACAACCAGAAAGTAGAAGAGGTAGTGGTAGGGATGGGGAAGGGTGCTGAAGAAAGGCAGTAGGGGGAAAAGACAGCTGAACATAATCGATGAACAATATATGGAAATACCACAGTGAAAGTCATAATTTGTGAAGTTAATATGTGCTAACAATTATATTTTATAAAACTCTGCTGTCTTAGCATTTTTTATTGAATATTTTGAGACAAGGTCTCACTAGGTTGGTCAGGCTGGTCTTGAGTCTCTGGTATACAGTGATCCTCTGCCTCAGCCTCTCAAGTAGCTAGAATTATAGGTACATGGCACCATCTCTGCTTTTTATTAGTAGTACATGTTTGTAGTACATAATGATTACATGCCTCATGAGAAGTTGGTAATGTACACAGCACACCTTAATTCTTTTCTTACCCCTTCCTGCCACTCCCTTACTCTCTCTGTCTCTTGTCCCCTTCCCTTTTGCAAAAGATCTAGCTATCTGTTTCTTGTATCTACCTTTTACTTTGCTCTTTATTTATATTTTGGATTTCCATGTAATATTTAAGCTTGTGTGTGTGATTTATTTCACATAACATTACGGTCACAAAGTGCATCCATTTTCCTACAAATGTCTCAGGTTTATCTTTCTTTATGTCACAGTAGTACTCCACTGTTTGTTTTTTTGTAAATACCACATTTCTTTATGTGTTTGTCTGATGATAGACAAACGGGCTGCTTCCAAGATTAGCTGTTATTAAATGTGTGGCTATAAACATGCATGTGTCACTGTTATATCATATATTTAACTCTTTCAGGAAGATATCTAGGATGGGGAAACTTGGGTTGAAAAGAATTTTTAGTTTTAGTTTTTGAAGAAATCTTCATACTGATTTCTATAATGGTTTACATTCCCACCAAGAATGTGAGAGTTCCTTTATCCGTACAGCATCGGCAGCATTTATTATTTGATTTCTTATGATGGCCATTCTTATTAGTGTAAGACAGAATCTTGGTATTGTTTTAATTTGCATTTTTCTAATGGCCAGAGATGTTGAATATTTTTTCATGTGTTTATTAACTGTTCGTACCTCTTCTGAGAAGTTATTATTCATTTCACTCACCCATTTTTTTTTATTGGGTCAGGGGACCTACTTCTTTTGAGTTCTTTATATCTTCTAGATATTAGTCCTCTTTCCCAAGGAATAGCTCGCAAACAATTTTTCCCATTTCATAGGTTGTCTTTTCACTCTGTTGCTGGCTTCCTTTGCTGGGCAGAAGCTTTTTAATTTGACATGATGCCATTTATTGACTTTTGATGTTATTTCTTGTGCAATTGGGATTCTGTTCTTGCCTACGCTTATGTCTTCAAGAGTTTTACCTATTTTATCTTTCAGCAGATTGTTTCTATATTAACATTTTGATCTCTGATCCATTTTGATTTTAGTTTAGTACTTGGTGAGATATATGGGTCTAGATTCAATCTTCTGAATGTGGATAGCCAGTTTTCCCAGTACCATTTATTAAAGAGGCTATCTTTCCTCTATTGTATGTTGGGCCCCTTTGTCAAAGATCAAATAGTTGAATGTGCCTGGTGTTGTTTCTGCATCCTCTATTCAGTTTCATTAACTTTGCCAGTGCCATGTGATATTTTTGAGAGGTCAAGTTACCTCGTCAAGACTATACTTTACTTATGTGGAGTTAGAGACTGACTGCTGGTGAATACTCCAGGATCTGTAGAAGTTATGGTTTCATTAGCAAAACTGGGAAATAAATTGTAGATATTGGGCAATCAAGCAAGGAAAATCTAGGTCAGAGTAACTCTAATCTTAGGCACTCTGAGAATCATTTGAAATAATTCTGTTTTTAATGGTAGTGAAGTTTTATTAAAGATAGGAAAAATGCCAGGCATAGAGGCGCACGCCTGTAATCCCAGCACTTGGGAGGCTGAGGCAGGAGGATCATTGTTAGTTCAAGACCAGCCTGGGCTACAAAGTGAGCTGAAGGCTAGAGTGAACTGCATAGTGAGATCCTGTCTCAAAAAATAAATAAATAAACAAACAAACAAACAAATAAATGGAGATAGGGAAAGAAACAGGCTCTATAGAGCAAGTTTGGGCAAAGTAAAAGTAGGAAAAGAAATACACCGTATAGTGTGAAGGCTGGCCAACCATGCAGGAGAACACAGGGGCCCATTTGACATAATTCTAAAGTGCTATATGGCTGTAACATGCTTGCCTGACCACTCATGAAAAGTATATTCAGTGCAGATATCTGAGTTCAGTTACACTGGGAGGAGGAGATAATAAGCCAGTTTTTGATGCTTTTGTTTACCATGCTTTTGTCTCAGCCCTGCTGCACTTCCTTCTCTCTGGTGATCTAAATAGGATGGAAACAGGAAATACATTAGCAGTAAGAAGTTAATGATTGTTTACTTATCTGTGTGATGGTAAATTCTTATCTTTTACTGGAAGGCTTTTTATATTATGGTACTATGCTTTGAAGAGTTTTAAAGATTTTCATGCTATATGAGTAGAGCTAAAGTGGTTCTGTTTGTTGTTTAGATGTCTCTGCTAGTCAAGACCACTGTCTATACTAATGTTCATTATTTATTGTTCCAAAATTTTATTTGTCATCAGACTCACTGAATTGCTATGCTTTATTGTGTACAGCAAAAGCCTAAAAACTAGTCATGATAATTTGAGAATTTGTAGGTTGCTTAAATACAATCTATTTGCTGATTTTTTACTATTTTCCTGTGTTTGAATCCTCAGAACAATAGTTTTGTCAGATTGATACTGCCATAGTACTCTTGTCATTTTCAGTTCTACAGACATTTTTTTCCCATTATAGCATGTAATTACAGTGACACTGCTGAGAGTTTGTTGAACAAAAGGAAAAATTCAATTTCAAGTGTTGATAGTGATGATAAATGATGTTTGTGGTTGAATTTTATTATGTGCTGGGAAACTGATTCTATAGCTACTCTGAATCAAAGATTCATTTTTTGAATATAAATTGATGTAGGACTATTTAATGAGAGAAAAACCAGCATGATAGCCCACTTCTTGGCTTGTTACAAATAAATATTTTATAGGAAAAGACATATCTTGAAGGAGAAATGAGATTCCCTCAAAGACTGATAGATTGACAGACTCAAAATTCCATTTCTTTGTGTTGGCACAAATATTCTAACATGCTACACGACTGAAAGTAATAAGAATTATGAATTAACTGTTTGCTTTGTTAAGTCTAAACAGATACTAACAGTGCTTAGTACAGTATACATGCTAGGCATTGTTCTGGGTATTTAGGATATGTCAATTAAAAAAACAATGAATCTTTACCCTCAGGGAGTTAACATTCTTGAGGTGATGGAGAACAGAATAGATCTGTAGCAGTATGTCAGTGAGTCATATAGTATTTTTGTTGAGTGCTTTTTTTAAAATTGATTCTCATATGTATCTCAGGCTGGCTTCAAATGATAATTCTTCTGTCTCAGCCTCCCAAATTTTGGGATTACATGCCTGACTTCATACAGCATGTTAGAAGGTAATGAGCCCTATAGGAAAAGAAAAAATGTAGAGCAAGGTAAAGAAAGATTAAATCTTTACTGCTGGAATTCAAAGTTCCAAATACAGAATTAAATATAATTCTTAGGGTAGGTCTTTATGAGAAGGAAAGATCGAGCAAAGGGTGAAAGAGCCAAGGAAATTTGCAAGGAAGATTGAATAATCTAAGCAGAGGAAGGGTTCATGGCAGCCACATGGCTGATGGAGTCCAGTATAGCTAGAGGAGATAAGTAGCAGGGAGAACAGTAGGAGATGAAGTCAGAAATATAAAGATAAGGTTGGATGGAGAGTGGTGGTGGGGAGACATGATTAAAGCTTTATATCTATGTATTTTGAGAGAAAGGGGAAGTTGAGCAGAGAAACTGTATAATTTGATTTAAACTTTAAAAAGATCACTACAAACAATCATTAAGTTTTTATATCTTCATAAAAACACAATGCTTAGCCGGGCATAGTGATGCACACTTGTAACCCAGCCCTTGGGAGGCTGAGACAGGAGGATATCCATGAGTTCAAGGCCAGTCTGGGCTACATAGTGAGTTCATGGCGAGACTCTGTCTCAGAAACAAAAAACAAATGAACAAACAAAAATACATGGCTGAAATAATTGTTTCAGATATATTATTATCTATCTTATATCTTTTAATAGATTATAAAGCCTAAATTGCAGGAACTTATTTTCTTCTTTTTTTTGTTGCTTTCTAAATCCAGTAAAGAATTTTACATATACAGTAGTATTAAATAAATGTGGTTGACTGGTTATCACTCAGAGTAAAAAGAGTGCCATAAAATACCTCTCAAGCTGGCAATAGACACTCACCTTGAAGTGAGAACACTTTATTCTTTTTTTTTTTTTTTTTTTTTTTTTTTTGTCTTTATGAGACAGGATCTCACTATGCAGTTCAGGCTAGCCTTGAGCTCACTTTGTAGCCCAGGCTGGTCTCAAACTCACAACGATCCTCCTGCCTCAGGCTTCCAAGTGCTGGGATTACAGGCATGTACCACCACACCCAGCTCAAAATCCGTGTCTTTGTTTTTCTTTTCTTTTTTTTGGTACCAGGAATCCAAACCCAGGACCTTGCACTTGTCAGTCAGCTGCTGTGCTGCTGAGCTATATCCCCAGCCCTTTTATTTCCATTTATATGTTTTAACTTTTTTTTTTAATAGGGGAATGGTGGTTTAAATTCTTCCTCTTGGGCAAGTATGCTGATAATTACCATTAAAACCAACAGCCAACACAAATTATCAAAAACAAAGGGTTTCAGGGTTACATGACTAAAAATACACATCAATTAATGAAGTACATTTACAATCATTAGTTAAATTAAAAAATTTAAAGAAGAGATAAAAATAAAGTGGCTTAGACAAGGTAAATATGAAAAAGCAGTACTTTGGGAGAGACAAACTAGAAGCATAGCTCTGATGGACTTGTCTCTATATACTTCATGTCTTCCGTCGTATTTAACTTTCAAGTTATAACCCTCGTATAGTCTGTTTCTGCACAGGGTCTTTGCAGGTTCTCAGAATATGGAAAGTGAATGAGGCGCCAATAATTTCTGTTAGTTCCCTTTTTAAGACATCAGAATAGCAAATGTTAAAGGCTTGTTAAAGTCAATATTAATTTAACAGAATTTTTCAATTAAAAATAACCAGTTTTAAAAAGTTTGAATTTTAAAAATTTTGATGTGTATTTGACTCCTTAATGTTATTCTAAGCGGTAAAATTTAGAGGTATTTTCAAAGAATTTCCATATTTCAACTACATACAGTCCAAAGCATTTGATGATGTAAGTATCTTACCGTAATTAGTACTTCCTCTTCTCACTTGGTTGTGTGTTCTCTAAGGAGAGGGACTAGATAACAGCTTTATATCTCCAGGGCCACAGCCAGTAACATTATAGGAGCCCAGAAATGTTTTTTAAGTTAACTATGTGTGATTTTCATAGGTGGGTTGGTTTATATTTACTAGATTTACAAGAACTTCTCTGGAAGATAAAGGAATGATTTTATTCTGTGTCTAGCATATCCCTTTGATAAATAAAACAGCATGATAAAATATTAATAGTGTTTTTTGAGGGTGGAAGGTCTGGACAAGGTTACAGTTTTAATATTTGCAGAAGTAAAAAATGTTTGAACTATCATTCCTTAGAGTCTTCCTAAGGCATGTTTTCTAACAAGTTGAGAATGTGTGTGAAAAATTCTGTATATTATATAATCGATTCAATTTTATTTTTTAGCTTCTTTACACAGACAGGAATTTTGTGATTTGTGCTCCAACTGGTTCTGGGAAAACTGTAGTGTTTGAACTAGCTATAACAAGATTGTTAATGGAAGTACCATTGCCATGGTTGAACATTAAAATTGTTTATAGTAAGTATGTATTGTAAAAGTAATGATTAAGTATAATAAAAACCATTAAAGCAAAATGGAAGAAGAAATTCAGTTCAGGCTATAGGCATTATTGTTTTTCATACATTTTGAAAGAAATTAATTTTATTTTATTAATTTATTTGTTTTCATGTTGGGGATTAAACCCATGACCTCACATATGCTAGGCAAGTGCTCTATCACTGAGCTAACACTCCCAGTTGTAACAAATTCTTGTCTTTCCCCTCTTTTTTGGGAGCAGGGAGTACTGGAGATTGAACCCAGGGCCTTCATAACTGACTTACCTCCACAGCCCTTTTGTAGTTTTTATTTTGAGTCAAGGTTTCACCGAGTCACTGAGTTACCTAGGCTAGGCTCAAACTTATCATATTTCGACCTTAGCATGCTGGAGTGCTGGGATTACAGGTATGTGCCACTGCACCCAACTTTCTTTCTTCCCGTTTTCTGTGGTCTTGCATATTCTAGGCTAGCGCTATGCCACTGAACAATACTCTGAGCCCTCCATACTGTTTTTTTTTTTGGTGCCAGGACTCAAACTCACAACCTTGTGCTTGCCAGGCAGGCTCTGTGCCGCCAAGCTATATCCTTGGCCCCTCCTCCATACATCTTTAATAAAGATATATCATGATTAGTTGGTCAGTTACATTAAATTCAAAACACATTTTCCTAGACTTATAAGTAACATCTGAATTGAAGATTTAAACTTTATATGCTTGTTTTTAAGAAAACGGTTAAAATGAACAGATAAAATCACACATTTTATAATTCTAGATGTTTACATAGAAACTTATGCTTCCCTTTTTTAGGTGTATATTTTAAGAATATTTCCTCAAAGTAATTATGCATAAAAAAATAAATATTATGAAGAGCCTTATAATGAAAAGTAAAAATCTTCTGCCCTGTCTGTCTCTACTCTTAGTTATAATTCTCTGAGTCATCACTCCTTTTTCTTTTTTTTTTTGGTACCAGAAGTCAAACTCAGGACCTTGCTCTTGCTGGGCAAGTGCTGTGCCACTGAGCTATCTCCCCCACTCTCCTGTTTCTGTTTTTAGTTCCTTTTGGTGATCTGCTTTTTATCTCTAAAAATAAACTTACATTGCTAACTTTTATCAATATTATGGTGTACCTGGATGTATATTTTATCCTAACTTTATTAGTCAAAGTTTGTGAAAAAGTTTTAAATTACACTCATATTCAAAATAAATATACTGTTATAGTGGCACCAATAAAAGCCCTGTGCAGTCAACGTTTTGATGACTGGAAGGAGAAATTTGGACCAATAGGATTAAATTGTAAAGAACTCACTGGAGATACGGTCGTGGATGACTTATTTGAGATTCAGCATGCTCATATTATTATGACAACTCCAGTAGGTGTTATTTATACTTTATTTTTCCTTAATTTATTAAGAATATCTCTTTATCTTCATTGACAAAAAGTTCAAATACAAGTTGAAGCACATATTTGCAATATAAACAAACAAAAACTAATAATATTCAAGGTACGAAAAGAAGGCCTAGAAATAAGTAAGCAAGAGGCAAGATAAATCAGGACAGAATATTCAACTTATTATTATGGATAATTTGTAATTATATTTATTGCTTGTATTCTTTTGCCCACATATTATGTATTATAGAGGGAGTACCTTGTTGGAACTTAGAAATATGTAATTAGACTATGATTTTAAGTATTCTGTATTAAAACTTTTTTTAAAAACTGAAGGCTTATTTTTAAACACCTATAAGATTGTCAAAATCCTTTAAATAATTTTTAATCTTTAAATATCTTTCAGGATATTTTTGAGTTAGCAACCAAAATATTAATTAAACTTGTGGAACATTTTATTGATGTCTTAAACAATATTTGTTTTAACTGTTTATCAGATCAAACTGCTTGTATTATTTCCTGTAGGAAAAATGGGATAGCATGACTAGGAAATGGAGAGACAACTCTTTGGTCCAGCTGGTTCGACTAATTCTTATTGATGAGGTAGGGAACATATTATTTATTTCTAGTGTAAACATAAAAATGTGATTAGAATAGGTAGAATTAAGACATTTTCATCCAGGTGTTGTAGTGCATGGCTGTAGTTTCAGTACTCAGGAGAACGCTGGGGCAGGAGGATTGCTGTGAGTTCAAGGATAGCCTGAACTACATAAGCAAGATCTGGTCTCAAAAAAACAAAAACAAAAATTCAGCCGGATAGTGTTTAATCCTTTAAAGCAGCCAGTGCTCATTTTCTCAAGGATAAATGTTAGTTTTATTTATATTTTAATTCATTAAAATTAATCAATTAATAGATGTTTTAGTTTTATAACTAATGAATCTTGGTTGATTTTTTTTTTTTTTTTTTTTTTTGGCTTAGGTACATGTTGTAAAAGATGAAAATCGTGGCCCAACACTTGAAGTCGTAGTCAGCAGGATGAAAACTGTACAGTCTTTATCTCCTCCTTTAGAAAATAAGAACAAAAGTATTCCAATGAGATTTGTAGCTGTGTCTGCAACAATTCCAAATGCTGAGGATGTAAGTTAGAATTAGTATTTTTTATAACTTGTAAAATATTTAGTCCTTTTAACTTCATAGAAGAGGAAAGGATTTGCCTGTCAATTACCTAATAAATTTATAGGAAAATATGTTGTAGAAATTTATGGCTCAATCTCATAAGTATAACAATATTAAGATCATGAAATTTGGTTGATCAGGTTTAATAAACCATTTTTGGTGGAATCTATTGTTTGCTAGTATCTAAAAGTCTTAGTCTCATGGGTTTCAGACACTTTGTTATAAGTCATTATAACCAGCTAACTCTAATTGTACAGCAAATATGATGGAGTATAAAAATAATTGCTGAGATGATTATCATCTTCTCCCCCCTTCTATGTGTCTGGCATTATAATAAGCATTAATGATTGATGCAAAAGTAAGAACATATGGGCCCTGTCCTTAAGGAGGATATCATGATTAATGGGTACATAGATGTGTAAAGAGATAATATATATAATATTATATTTCCATAATGAATATATGCATTAAGGTTTTCTTTGATTTTTTAGGCAAATTTTTTGAAAAAGAGTATATTCTCCTACACATTCTCAACCTACTATAGCGCTTTTAGAAACTACAAATACCTGTCTCTTCTAATGGAAAATTTTGTCTTTATCTTTAAATTTGCACAGTTAATCATTTTCTAGTTCTTAAAATGACTTGTTCATATTCATGAATAATATATAGAATAATTTATAGTATAGAAAAACAATACAACTGAAATTCAGAGTTTGTACTTACAGATGTTTGCTGTGTGTCAATCACTTATTTTTAATAAAGACATTTATTCAGGTTTACAGTTTTGGAAGTTGATAATCTGAGAGTGGATGGCCTCATCTTTTAGTCTCGTGAGGCTCCTTCTGGCTACCTCATCATATGGTGAAAGACTATGGCAGGAATGCATGTGAGAGCAAGAGATCATGTAGCAGGCCAGATAGTTTCAAGGGTCAGCCTCACCTTGTTAACAGCTCATTCTCATGAGAATTCACTAACTGTGCAACACCAGCATTAATCTTCCCGAGGGTAACATTTCCAGTGACCCAGTCATGTTCCACTAGGCTTTACCTCTTAAAGATTCTACTGCCTCAACATTATTGCTATACTGGGGACTGAGCTCTCAATATAAGAACTCTTAGGAGATATACTTAAACCATATCCAAACCATAGCAACATGGAATTTTAATATATGCTTTTTTGACCTACATTTTTGTATATCTGCAAATATTTCCATGTCATTAGTGTTCCTTTGTACTATTTTTGTGGTTTTGTAATTTGTCCAGCCTCATAGTAATGGAAAATTGTTATTTTCATTTTTTCTGTTATGAACAATGGTGAAATTAATGATGTTTGAGAATGTCCATGGTCATTTCCATAGGATGAACTTCCACAGTAAACTAACTGAATTAAAGGACATGGAAAATTTTAAGGATGAATTACTTTTAGTAAATGTTATATTCATTTGTTTAAGCAGCCCTTTCTCTGTATTCTACCAACAGTCAGATTTCTGAATTTTAACACTGGATAATATAATAATGAAATTATTATTCAAGATTAAATATTTACATATAATATTAAGTATTTGACAAATTTATTTCTTAACATATCTTATTTTAAAAGTTTTTACTTCTTTGATTTTTATTGAAATAAATATTTTTATTGTATTTATCAGTTACTTTTCTTTTTTTGCAATTTGTCAGGTCATACCCTTTATCCTTTTTTCACATTGGGATACTAAATTTTTTGTCTTACTGAATCATATACAGTTATTATATAAATAAACTCTAATTCTTTTGTTTTTGTTTTTGTCTTATTTTATTATTGCGTATTAATTGTACAGCATAATAGACTCTGTTATGGCATTTTCACATATGCACACTTTATTTTGATCATAATTACCCTCTGTCAGTCTCCCTTACTCTCCCTACCCTTCATTCCCTGATCTCCTTTCTCTTCTCTAATGGTCTCCCTTCTAATTACCTTCTCTTTCTTGAAATTTCCTCCTTTGTGGTATTACTGGTTCTGTGAATGTTTTTGTCTATTCAGATCCTCTTTGTCAATTTCCTCCTAAGGTCGTTATCCTTCTGCTCCTATCAGCCTGCAATTTCTTATGTGATCTTATATCCAACTATGATAACCTAAAAAATATTTCAGTATTTTTTTCTGTGAAATAAGAAACATCTTTCTGTCAAAGCAATGGTAAGTTTCATCACATGGAGTCTGATTAGTAGCCCGACCATACAAAGATAAGGATTGCTTACCACAGTTCCAGGAACTAACTAGTGACTCTAGCTTGAAGTCTGAAATGTGCCTCTGTACTGCCATTTCTCTAGTGGTTATTTGTTCTTTGATAAAAAAAATGTCAATTCTTGCCAATCTAAGGTAGACATTACTTGTTCAGCTAGTAATTATGAAAGTACAAAAGAAATTTCATACACTTCAGGCGTAGTTGTGAAAAACAGCAAAAAGTTTCAATGATAATGAGAAATTCAATTTCTATAAAAATAAATTTTAAATTTACTTTGGACTTTTATAAAGGAAAATAAACTAACAATTATTTAGAAATTTGCCATGGTGAAAAGCAGGTATCGTCTTGCATTACTACTATAGGAAACAGGGAGGTTGCCCACATGGAGATGTGGAGGGGATCTAGGGATGTAGGGGAGGGAAGGAAGGAGAGGGAATGGGGAAATAAAAAGGTATAAGATGTGATATATATTTGAACCAACTCCCTTCAATGAATGTATTCATTATGTATCACAAACATGTACTAATAAAAACAGTTTTAAAAACAGTGTTAGCATTTACCAATATAGCAACAGCACAGTTTGAATGCAATATATAACATTGAAATAAATACTTTTATAACTTGACTTTAAAGTGTTCTATAACTGGGTTCTTTTTAGCTATAGAACATTACTAGAAAGGATTTCTTGTCCATGTTTCTGTTTCTTCAAGGTAGCAGAATGGCTTTCAGATGGCGAAAGACCTGCTGTATGTCTGAAAATGGATGAGAGCCATAGACCTGTGAAACTTCAGAAAGTGGTCCTGGGATTTCCCTGCAGTAGTAACCAAACTGAATTTAAATTTGATTTAACCCTCAACTACAAAGTTGCCAGTGTTATACGAACATACTCTGATCAGAAACCTACACTTGTGGTATGAATTGTTGGTTGCTAATTTTTAGTGTGATTTTCAATTGTTAACATGGTTAATGTAGAAAGTATTAATTCATTTTCAGTTTTGTGCAACAAGAAAAGGTGTGCAACAGGCTGCTTCTGTTCTTGTGAAAGATGCTAAATTTGTTATGACTATGGAACAGAAACAAAGGTAAATTTATTCACTTTGGATAAAAGTAGGATTTATAGGGACAAATTAAGTGAAATAAGAGAAAATGCTCTCCATTAAACTTGGGCAAGTTACTTGACATTTATAAGTCTTATTTTTCTCATCTGTAAAATAAGAATAATAGTAAGATAGTAAGTCTTAATATATGTATGAGCCCATTTTTATTTTTTAACCAGATTTCTTGAAAAATAAAGATTATCCGTATTGCTATCTTCATTTTTAATGCAATTTCAATCCACTAGCTGCTGTAATCTTTCACTAAAGTTGACCTTGCTAAGTAGTCTGTCATGAACCTCTAACACATTTGACCACTTCTACTTTATTTAAACACCCTGGACTCTATTCTTCCATGATTGCCTTCTACCAGTTTGCTTACTGCTTGCCCACTGCACATTCTCAGTCCCCTTTTCACCTTCTCTACCAAATTCAATATTTGACATTCTGGAGAGTTCTGAGATTCAGTCTTTCTAGTTCTACCCTCCTGTGTGTTTGTGTCTACTCACCTGAAGCTTAAACAATATTTGTTTATGTTTGAAGATTTCCAGATTTATATTTGCAGCCAAGACTTCCTTTCTGAGCTGGCCTATAGTCCAGCTGTCTAACTGACATTTGACTGTATATCTTAAGGTCATCTTAAATTCAATATGTTCAAAATAGAACCTTGATTCTTTGTCTCAAACCAGCTGCTCTTCTAGCATTCTCCATCTTAATTATGTATAATCTTCCTAGTTGCTGATAGCTGAAACCAATCATTGGTATTTCTCTTACCTTCCTTTCCATATGCAGTCAGATACCAAATCTTATTTATCCTTGCTTTCAAATATAACAACGAACTTGGTCACCAATGTAACAATATTGAGAGATGGTAGGACCTTTAAGACATGGAGCCTACTGGGATGTGAGTAGGTCATGGTGGCATCACTCTCATGAATGTGTATCTCAAACATGTCATTTTTTACTCCATTACCACACTAATTTCCCTAATTCAAGACACTATTAATCTCCTATCTGGTCTGTATCCTTTCATCTGTTGACCATGCACATACTCTTTTCTCTGTTTACTTTCTGCATAACAAAGCGATTGTTTAGAATTACAACACTAAACTGGGTGTGGTAGTGCCCATCTGTAATCCCAGCACTGGGAAGGTTAAAGCAATAAAATCAGCATGATCTTGAGGCAAATCTGGGCTACAGAGTGAGTTCAAGGCCAGCCTGAACTACATAGTGAGACTCGCATTACTGTGTTTTTATTTTGCTTTCTACAGTCAAGCCATATTGGCCTGTGTTCTATGAATACCGCAAACTGTTACCTTAACCAGGACTGCATCATGTTTTCTTTTCTTGGAATTTTTTTACCTAACTCCTGTTCATCCTTCAAGTCACACCTTTAATATCAGTTTTATATAATCCTCAATTTCTCTGTATTCACTTTTATAAACACATTGTTTTTATTACCATTTATAGTTATTATAAATATTTTTTGTTTAATTCATTAGATTATAAACTTTTTTCCCAGTTTTTGTTCTTTATTGGTGTATGTTTGCAGTGCATAATGAGCACATTCCATATAGGGAGCTAGAATATTTAGATAACACATCTCTATTCTTTTTTCATCCCCTCTCCCTCCCTTCCCTCATACCTCTCTTTATCTCTTGGTTCCCTTCCCATATGCAAAGATCTATCTCCCTATTTTTTTTTTATAATCTATCTTATTTTGCTCTTTATTTATACTTTGAGTTTCCCAAATAAGAGAAGCCATGTGATATTTGTGTGTCTGATTTATTTCACTTAACATTATGATTTCATTTTCCTACAAATGACTAAAGTGGGAAGTGAAAGACCTCTACAGTAAAAACTACAGTACTCTGAAAAAGGAAGATGGAAGAGGACATTAGAAATGGAAAGATATCCCTTGTTCATTGATAGGCAGAGCCAATATAGTCAAAATGACCATACTTCCAAAACTGATAATACAGATTTAACACCATCATGATTAAAGTACCGATAGCATTCCTCACAGAAATAGAGGAAACAATCCCAAAATTCATATGAAGTGAAAAAAGACCCAGAATAGCAAACACAATCCTAGATAACAAAAGCAAAGCAGGAGCATCAAAATCCCCAATTTCAAGATATATTACAAAGCTACTTTTTTTTTTTTTT